TTCATGTTCAAAAATAAATAAATTATTAAAAAAAAAAAAAAAAAAGAGTTGAAGTCTTATTTCTTTCCTCTCTTTGAGAGAATTTTATTATGTGCCAAGAATTTTTAACTAATAACAAGTAAATCAAGTGAGTTTCCTTGTTCTATTTAGCTGAATGTTGAGTTATACTTTTCACTGGAAAACATAAAAATAAAAAATCAAGTGACTAAGTCCTTGCCTTCAAAGAGCATATGCTCTCATTGAAAGTGAAAAATCAATGTATAAATGAATAATTAAACAACAATCGGATGAACTGTAACAATGCGACCATTGAGATGGAAAATGCAGATAAGTACATATTAAAATGGTTTACATAGATGCAACAATCTTAGGTTATCACAGTGAGAGAAGAAAGTTCTGAAAAGAACATCAGATTTCAAAGAAATCAGGATTTGGTGTCTAGCACTGCTACAGGACATTTTGACTTACTTTGATTTCCCTGAGATAATACCTACTGTTCAGGGCTCCTTTTACCACCGAAAAAGTAGTCAAATGTCAGGCTTAACAAATTTGGCAGTGCCACTTTTTTTTTTTCAAAATGAGACAAATTCATCCCAAGTGCATTAGGAAGTGGGAGGTTGTTAATATCTACTCTGTAGTTAGGCACTCAGCATAAGTCATATTCTTTTCTTAGAAGTAATATGTTTAATTTTAATTACTCATGAAAATGAGGAGGAGGGCTATGGAGACTTATGCAGATTTATAAACCATTCTTTGCCTATCTCGTTGTGTTAATCACATTTCTGTCAATGTGCAAAAGTGCCCCTCCCCTAACTCCCATAAATCAACTTAAGAGAAGAAAGGTAAGCTTTTGTGTTTCTGCTCCTAGTTTAAGAATTTCATTCTGCTTTCGTGACTCCTGTTGTGTTCTCATGAAAATTCTCCCAGGGAGCACATGATAAGACAGAGCTGCTCACTTATTAATGTTCTAGAAGTGAGGCTAACACAGCATAATCCAAATGATTCTCCATCACAGGCACAGGCAGTAATGAGATTTAGGTTTCTAGGCTCTGTCTTTGAATAGGTGGGTGGACGACGGTTGGTTCATACTGCTTGTTCTGAAACTTAGATAGAGACTGAAAATCTAGTGCTTAGAAATGTCTATAGTAATTTGATAGGGCAGTCACCATCTGTTGAATTAATCATAACATCAGAAGATTGAATGTTCTCATGTCTATGGATTTGTTTTCTTCTAAAATTTATTTTTATTGAGTTTTAGAGTTTGATTCATCTGTAATTAGATCTTCATTTCAAGTAATTTGAGAAGTTGCATTTTAGTAGATAATTACACTATTTGTTGGTTGATATGTAAAGCAATTTAAAAATATCAATTGCACAGTTTATTCTGCTTTTGGACTATAGTGCACATAGTATGCTTTTCTCAAGATGATGCTGGATGTTAGGAATGAGAGGGTTACTTAGGGTATAGGGTACGCCTGTAACTGCTTATCTAGGGGCTTTTGGGAGGCACAGAAAAGGTGTGTGTGTGTGTGTGTATGTGTGTGTATGTGTGTGTATCTGTCCTTTTGTATGAATGTGCATGTGCCTGGCTGTGCCAATGAAGGGAGTCAGAACTCTTGCATCTGGTATTACAGGTGGCTGGGAGCTACTGGATCTAAATGTTGTGAACCAAATTCAGGTCCTCTACAGGAACAGCAAGAACTCTTAACCACAGAGTAGCCCCCGGGAAAAGATTTTTTTTAACACACGTTTCAGATGAGAGGATGTATAACTTGTAAACAAATAAGTGAAGGTTTACTCATACAGAACCTCACATGAGCAAGAAAATAGCAGTTGTCAAACAAACAACACAGAAGCAAGTGGCAAGCCCTCAGCATCCTTACAGGATCCCTAACAGGTTAATTCAGACTGACTCATGATACTCAGGTAAATAGCAGCCATCAGCATTTCCTTCCCAAGCGATTTATGTGCCCCATTTCTGAACTGTGGTAAATAACTGGAGGGGAGTGAGGACCACGGAAGAGACTTCTGGCACTGTGAGTAAACTGAGATATAAAGATATCAAAGCCATCTACAAACATGATCCTGCTTCAATTGTCTCAAAATCCAGCTGTGTTCTCTGATTTGTTCTGGTGAATATGTATAATTGCATTGTAACAAGTTGCAAAGCATAACTGTGATTAAATATTAGAAGTTCAAGATGATGTATTTTTAGAATTGGTGACTGAAAGTCAAGACAGTTAGTGTAAGAACTGTATGTGATACTTAGACAGCAATTATATTGTCAACAACTACTTGACCCCACTTCTTCCTACTCAAGAAAAACATTTGCAGGACAAAATAATCTATTTGCCAATTCCATTCAAACTTTCATTTGAAATTTATTTTTTGTTTTTTATTTGTGTGTGTATGTGCACATGTGTGTAGATACTTGTGGAGGGCAAAAGAAGGTATCAAATCTCTTAGAGCTAAAATTACAGACAGTTGTGAGCTACCTAACATGTGTCTGAGAACTGAACTCAGGTTCTTGGCGAAAACAGCAAGTACTCTTAAGCCCAGAGTCATCTCTCTGGTTGAAAGAAACTGAAAGAGAAAGAGAGAGAGAGGGGGACGGAGGGAGGGAGGGAGGGATGGGGAGAGAGAGAGAGAGAGAGAGAGAGAGAGAGAGAGAGAGAGAGA